TTTCTGGGAGTGGGGTGGAAAGAAAATCTTGTTAGTGTTTCAAGGAAGAGTAAAAGAGATGTTAACACACAGTAAGCCCAATTCGTACCTTTTCTTATTTTAACATCTCCTAGATCCTCTCCTCTCTATGTCTCCCTGAGGAAGACTAGTTAGTTCTGCCTGACCTTCTGCCCATATTGTAATATAGGAATATCTTAGTGGAAATTCCCTGTCCAGGACCCTCTCATTTTCCTTCCGCCTTTGGGTTGTGTGGCCAAGGTCTCCTGGACGTACCATCTTTGGACGTACCATCTTTGCTCCAACAGGGAATATGTGTGGCACTGAAAACAGTTAATATTAAAGATCGCTTGTAAGGATGAAATGAATGAATATTATTTTAGAGGGAGGAGGTTCAAACAAAAAATGTTTCCACTAGAAGAGATTAAAAACTTGTGCTTAAAGAGCAATCCCACCCACCAACTTTCTCACACACCTCAGCTGTGATACTGGCAATCCTTGGCCTGCATATGCACATGCCCACATGCAAACCCTCCAGCAATGGGGATTGTCTATCATGACTTTGGGTCCTTTACCCTTCAAACCCACCAGACTGGGAATGTGAATACATCTATTATCTTTTGATGCTGATGGATTGTATCGCAGCTTGTAACTCACTCTACCAAAAATAAGAAGTAATATAGAAGCTTTCAATACAGTGGTACCTCAGGTTGCATACGCTTAAGGTTACAGACTCCACTAACCCAGAAATAGTACCTTGGGTTAAGAACTTTGCTTTAGGATGAGAAAAGAAATCGTGCGGTGGCGGCGCAGTGGCAGCGGGAGGTCCCATTATCTAAAGTGGTACCTTGGGTTAGGAACAGTTTCAGGTTAAGAAAGACCTCCAGAACGAATTAAGTTCTTAACCTGAGCCACCACTGCCATGGGAGCATATTCACCCAGTGCTTTACCAGTTGCGCTGGCTCCTGGTAAGGTTCAAGGTGCTGGTCTTGACCTTTAAAGCCCTTTGTGGCTTAGGGCCCTCGTATCTATGGGACCGCCTCTCCTGGTATGCCCAGGAGGATCTTAAGGTCCATGAACAACCATAGTTTAGAGGTCCCGGGCCCTAAGGAAGTCAGACTATCCTCCACCAGCACCAGGGCCTTTTCAGTGATGGCTCCGACCTGGTGGAATGCTCTGCCCCATGAGACCAGGGCCCTACAGGATTTAACTTCCTTCCGCAGGGCCTGTAAGACAGAGCAATTCCGTCTGGCTTTCAATTTGAACCTGGCCTGATCTTTTGTTCCTCTTCCTTCCCTCCCCTTTTTATGAAGATTACCCGCTTTGGGATCCCACAGCTAATTCTCCCCTGGTCTCCTCACTGGCCCAAATAGGACTAATTTAGCCAGCTAGCCCTGGTGATCATCTAATGTTTATTTCCCCTAAATTGATTTTTGAATTTTATTGTTAATCATGTTTTTATACTGTATTTTATGCTGCTTTTATAATTAAGTGTTTTAAATTTGTTGTTAGCTGCCCTGAGCCTGATTTTTGAACCGGGAAGAGTGGGGTATAAATAAAAAATTATTTATGAGTGTCTGAGGGCCCTGCTCCTTCCTGCCACTTACCACCTGGCCCAGGGCAGGGCCTGACGGGCCTCACTAGGACAGTTGCTGTTACTGCTGGAGGGGGGCAGAGTGCTTTTAAAATGTTTTTAAAAATTTTCTTTTGAATTTTTTGTAGGTGGGGGGTGGGGGTGGGATGGTTTTTATTGGGCCTGGGAATTTGTTTGATTTTATGTTTTTGTAATTTTTACTGTTTTTTGTTTGTATTGTTTTATTGGTTTTTTTTTTTTAAGGTGTTATTTTGTTCTTAAGGGGAGGGGTCAGGGCTGCTGGGGAGTAGGTCCCAGCCAACAAAATGGCTGGGGCATGTTCCACCGGGGGGATGCACTGGGACAACCGATCTCAGTGATCACGGGTAGGAGGAGGAGTTACGCTAAGACCAGACCATGTCATTACAGAGGAGGCAGGTTTAGTCATTGTCTGAGGACTATCCCTGCCTCCGGGTCTGGTCCTGACCGGATGGATACTAGAATCAGCAAGGGATACCCACATGACCTGAAGGTGCTGCTGTGCAATGCCAGGTCAATGATTCATAAGACCACTGCCATCCATGACTTGATCATGGATGGAGGACTTGACCTGGCATGTGTGACAGAGACTTGGTTGGATGAAGCAGATGGGCCTGTGAAGGTGACCCGGAAACTACAACTAATCCAGAATGCGGCAGCTAGACTGGTGACTGGGAGCGGCCGCCGAGACCATATAACACCGGTCTTGAAAGACCTACATTGGCTCCCAGTATGTTTCCGAGCACAATTCAAAGTGTTGGTGCTGACCTTTAAAGCCCTAAACGGCCTCGGTCCAGTATATCTGAAGGAGTGTCACCACCCCCATCATTCAGCCCGGACACTGAGGTCTAGCTCCGAGGGCCTTCTGGCGGTTCCCTCACCGTGAGAGGCCAAGGAACCAGGGAACCAGGCAGAGGGCCTTCTCGGTAGTGGCGCCCGCCCTGTGGAACGCCCTCCCATCAGATGTCAAAGCGATAAACAACTACCTGACATCCAGAATACATCTGAAGCCCTGTTCAGGGAAGTTTTTAATATGTGACATTTTAGTGTATTTTTCATCTTTGTTGGAAGCCGCCCAGAGTGGCTGGGGAAACCCAGCCAGATGGGCGGGGTACAAATAATAAATTATTATTATTGTTATTATTATTATTATTATTATTATTATATAAATCCAAAAGCATTTTCATAGCGTCCTCCACCCATATTTTTGGACTGGTGCCTAACAGGATCAATGATCAGTTGTGCAGTGGAAAGTGAACATTGCTACTGACCGTGATAGGTTCCTTCTCTGCAGGGAGGAAGGGGGTCCCTTGTGGTGTGTCAACATCCCCCTCCCCCCTGCAGTAAGTCAAACTTTCTAGATGGGCAATATGACCCCCTTGCCAGCTCAATTTGTGCTTAAGCAGGTAACTGTATAGCAAGAACAAAGGAACTGGAAGAAAAAAGAAGACAACTTCTTAGGATAAGGAACTCAGCGGTCCCACAGTGGGGCATATTATTTTGGACAACTTCCTAAAGGTCCCTGTGAGGTAGTCCAGGTAAAGAAGAGAAGAAAACCCAGGTAAGGGTGGAAGAGTAAGAGAAAGAGGGTGGGAAAGGAGGCCCCTGAGCATCAATGTGCGTGTAACCCTCAGCTCTTGGTTCAATGGTCTCCCCGTCACAGAAAGGAAAAATGCAATTGGTGGACTTCCGGCGAGGCAGCATGGCGGCTGCAACAGCAGAAAAGAGCTCCTGAAGCCAGCCAGAGTAAAAGGCTCTGTCTGGCCGACTCCTGGGCTCCCAGGACTGCTGCCGCCAGCACCGCCAGCGGAGAGGAATCGGGGGTGCCCGGGAGCC